TTCCATTCATCAGTCAATGGACACATGGACCATTTTCATAATTTGGTTATTGTAGATAATGCTGCTACAAACCCTGGGTGCATGTATCCCTTTGAATTAGTATTTTCATATTTTTTGGATAAACACCTCATAGTGCAATTTCTGGACCACAGGGTAGTTCTATTTTATTTTATTTTTATTTATTTTGGGGGGATAGTTCTATTTTAGAATGCTTTCTAAAAAAATTAATTATTGTAAGAAAAAACACCTATCAGCAATGAGATTGCTAGGTCATACGGTAATCCTATCTTTATCCCACCAACTATACAATGCTTTTAGAGATTCAACTGTCATGTGTATAACAAGATATTGCCTTAAGTATGGTATTGAAGTGAACAGAAACAAAACCCAGACCCACACTTCTTCAGATATATTAGTCAGGAGAGTTTAAATTGATAACTGTTAACAAACCATTAGTCATGCATTCATTATGTCTTTTTTATTCTTTATTTTTAAAATATTTATCTGTTTACTTTGAGAGAGAGAGAGAGCATGTGAGCAAGAGCAGGAGATGGGCAGAGAGCGTGGAGCTTGACATGGGATCATGAGATCATGACCAGAGCTGAAATCAAGAGTCAGATGCTTAACTGGTTGAGCCATCCAGGCACCCCTTGACTTACACTTTGGATTTGTTTAGAAAGACCTGGCTATAGGAGCACCTGGCTAGCTCAATTGGAAGAGCACAAGACTCTTGATCTCAGGTCATGAATTTGAGCCTCATGTTGGGTGTAGAGGTTACTTAAAAAAAAAAATATTAAGAAAAAGATCTGGCTATAATATTTTAGACTATTTACATTTTTTTTTTTTTTTTTTTTTTTTTGCAAAAGCAAAGGACTTTATTACAGGCTTAAGCTCGGACTCCCAGACTTCACCAGCGTATGGATCTGTGCTGAGAGCCGACTATTTAAAATATTTTTAAATGTTTATTTATTTTTGAGAGAGAGAGAGAGACAGATTGTGAGCAGGGGAGGGGCAGAGAGAGAGGAGGACACAGAATCTGAAGCAGGCTCCAGGCTCTGAGCTGTCAGCACAGAGCCCAACGCAGGGCTTGAACTCGCGAGCTGTGAGATCATACCCTGCGCCGAAGCCAAAAACTCAACCAACTAAGCCACCCATGCGCCCCATTTTAAACTATTTAAATAGTTTTCTTTTGTATTAAATTTTGAATGTAATATTTGAAATATTTCAAATCTACAGAAAGTAAATTAACAAATACTTAAGTATTTAAACTCAACTCAAACAAATCCATATTTTTTGGGATACTTCTTTAGATCTGCCCCCAAGAGTAGTACATAGGTCAGGAAAAAAAAACCCACCAATAAGCATTTCCACTTCTACTGACTATGATAGCAAGCACAGGTGCATGAAATCAGGAAAAGAAACTAGTAAGTAAAATGAATTCATGCATGGCTACCTGTTTCTCTTCCTAAAATTTGAAAGAAATCATGGGCTCTGAAGTCACACAGATCTGGGTTCATGTCTTGGGTTTGCTCCTGGCCAGTTGTGTGGCCTTGAGCAAGTTCCTTAACCTGTTTTTTTATCTGTAAAATGGAGATAATCCTAATGCTTCCTAAATTTGTTGAGAGGCTTGAAAGATAAATATGAGCACTTATATATTTACCGTGTACAATAAGCGACACAGAGCAATCTTCAATGAATATTAGTAATGCCAATATATGCCAATCACTCTTCTAGTACCGAGAAGTCAGCAGGGAACAAGAGAGATAAAGACCCCCAAGAAGCTCACTTTCTAGGGATGGACAATAAACAAACAAGGTAATTTCAGACAGTGAGAGGGACCATGAAGAAACAGTATGGGAAGGGGTTACAGGAGCTACTTTAGACAGCAGACAGGAGGCCATAGTAAGCCTGTGGGAAGCCTTCAAAGGTGAAATTTAACTGAGAGTAGCAGAGGGGTGTCTGGGTGGTTCAGTTGGTTGAGTGTCCAACTTCCACTCAGGTCATGATCTCATGGCCCGTGAATTCAAACCCCATATCAGGCTCTGTACTGACCAGGTGGAGCCTGGAGCCTGCTTCAGATTTTGTCTGTCTCTCTCTCTTTCTCTTTCTCTCTTTGCCCCTCCCCTGCTCATGCTCTTTCTCTCTCTTTCTCAAAAATAAATAAACTTTAAAATTTTTTTAAAAACCCCACAAGAGTAGCAGAAGGAAGCAATCATTGGAAAGTTTGGGGAAGAGTGTTCAAAAGAAGAGGAACACTACGTGCTTAGGCTCTGAGCTAAGAAAGCTTAGTTTTTACAGGAAGAAAGAAGGACAGGGAGGCTGGAAGTGCATGTGAGAGGAAGGGAGACGGAGCATAACATCTGAGAGGGAGAACATTTCAAGAAGGGCATTGTGGATCATAGTATAGAGCTTAGATTTTATTCTTTTTTTTTTAAAGATTTTATTCTTTTTTTTTTTAAGTTTATTTTGAGAGAGAAAGAAAGCATGAGTAGGGAGGGGCAGAGAGAGAGGAGAGAGAGAGGGAGAGAGAGAAATAGAGAGAGAGAGAGAGTCCCAAGCAGGTTCTGCATGATCAGCATGGAGCCCAATGCTGGGCTTGGACTCAAGAACAATGAGATCATGACCTGAGCCTAAGTCAGACGCTCAAACGAATGAGCCAGCCAGGGACACCTAGGTTTTATTCTTAACAGATTGTGAAGACATTGAAGGATTTTTCTTGTTCGTAGATACAGTGGTCTTTGCACTGGGGAGGAATTTGTGCACTTTCCTGTGGCTCTGTTCTAGAATTATACACGCTATACACTTTTCTGGGGATACCACATTGGTTACTCATGGGTTCCCCCTGGTGGAATTGGTGGCTCAGCTTGCATGGCTTCAGATGAGTGAAAGCAAATAAATGGGCAATTTATCCCTTCAGTCAATAAACATATATTGGGTGCCTACAATGTGCTAGGCTCTGGTGCTGAACCAAGATGTTCACATCGGTGAGCCAAGCACAGACATCTCCTAGAGCTTATATTTTGATGTGTATATGTGGGAGAAAGACATTTAACCAAATTCATCAGCAAATTGTTAGATGGGATAAATGTTATTCGAGAAAAAATAAGTGGGAAACTGGGTTAAGACATTTACAGAGGGTGATGGTGCTTCAGTTTTTTTTAATTTTTTATTATTTTTTAATGTTTTATTTATTTCTAGGAGAGAGAGAGAGAGACAGTGTGAGCAGGGGAGGGTCAGAGAGAGAGGGAATCACAGACTCCGAAACAGGCTCCAGGCTCTGAGCTGGCAGTCAGCACAGAGCCCGACGCGGGGCTCGAACCCACGAACCGTGAGATCATGACCCAAGCGAAAGTCGGACGCTCAACCAACTAAGCCACCCAGGCGCCCCTGATGGTGCTTTAGTTTTAAATACAGTGGCAGGGGGCTGCCTGGGTGGCTCAGTCAGTTAGGCATTGAACTCTTGGTTTCAGCTCAGGTCATCATGATCTCATGATTCGTGAGTTCGAGCCCTGCACCAGGCTCCATGCTGACAGTGTGGAGCCTGCTTGGGATTCTCTCTCTCCCTTTCTCTCAAAATAAAATAAAATAATACAAATACAGTGGCGGGGAAGGTCTCATTGAGAGGTTAACATCTGAACAAAGATGTAAAGGAGGTGACAAAGTAAATGATGCAGTTGTTTGGGGGAAGAACATTCCAGGAAGAGATCAGCAAGCATGAAGTCCCTGAGTTTATGTGCAGGTTTGAGGAATAGCAAAGAGACCAATGTGCCTTGATGTGGGGAGATAACAGAGAGTAGGAGATGAGGTTAGTTGTACTTGGGGGTAGGTAGGTAGTGTCACATCTTGAAGGTCCTCTAGGGAAGTTTAGGATTTTTTTTTTCACTTAGGAATAGGAATCCATTGGGAGGGGGACAGGATCTGCTTAAGACATTAACAGAAGCCTGTTGGTGTTATAGTAATAGACTGTGGAAAAATAAGGGTATAAAAAAAGCAGTCACACATAACTGTGGCTTGTACCAATAGAGGCAGTAAGTGGTCAGATTCTGAACAAGTTTTAAAGGCAGATTTTGCAAAACTCACTGATAAATTAGATGAAAGTTGTGAAAGAGAGGAGTTAAGGACTTCAATAAATGATATTACTAAATAAATTGTTGTCACAGGAAGAGGTGATCAGAGAGTATGCAGCCAAAAAGCGTAGAAAAGAAGTATTTTACAGGTGTATCAAGCAGTTTAAAAAGTGTGTAATTTTTCTGGATTTTGTGTTATTTGTGAAGTTTTAAAATTTGTGACTTGTCATTTTTCTTACTCCAAAGACGCATTTTTATACCTAGTATTGTATTTGTAATTTTGGATTTTCTTAAAAGTGCCTCTCAAATTGAATAAACTTCAGGTCTCCACAATGCCTGAATTCAACCCTGCTCATATTTGGGTAGTAATTTAAAGTTCGTGAAGCATCAGTAAGTTTTGTTTCTGATAAAATTATCACATAAAATAACGTGCACGAGATAGAAGTTACTGTAAGACCAATATGCTATTAGGAATAAACTAATTTTGGGTTCGCCTCCCCACCGGTGTCTTCCAAAACTTCTCACGCATTTATTCTTCCTCCCGCACTTTTTCTGAAACTACAGATACAACTAGCATTTCTTCTCACGATCGCTTTGGAGGGGCAGCCATTACACGCATTCTAAAAGACTTTCTAAAGAAATGAAACTGTTAAGTTTTGTTTTTGCTTTTCCTCGCTGTTTGCGCCTCAGAAGCACCAGCTTCCAGGCGCAGGAAGAATCAGCCGCTCAGCACTAAGACCCTCGGAGGCGCGCAGGGGGGCGTAACCAGGGGCGTAACCTGGGGCGGGGCTCCCGGAACGGCGGGGTGGGCGGGACCTAGGTGTTTCCCTGCCCCGCCCCGTGAGGCCTGACGCATGCGCTTAGAGGCTTCTGGTGGAAAGAGGTGTGGATTGTGAGGTGACCCTGGCGGCTGACTTCCGGTTCCTAGGGATGCGCATCCGGGTCACGCTAACGCCGCGGTTTCCTCCATCCGCTGGGTTCTGCTGTGGGTCTGGACCAGTACCCATGTCCTGCTTTGGGGCCTCTACAACCTTAGGGTGAGTCTCCGCCGCTACAGGATCTGAGATCGGCCGGTAGAGTACAGCCCGTACGGGGACGGGTCAAGAGTTCTGTCCCGGTCCCTGTGGGTGGGGGTTCCCTTTGCCTGTCCCTTGTCCCTGCAGTGCTTCCCTCACTTGAGCCCTTTCCCTCGCCGGCCTCGTCTCTTTCACCTCCCCTTAGCCTTGCTCGCCTCCGCGCACACCTCGCCTCGCCGTTTTCCTCATCCCCGCGTTACAAGCCCCGGTTTGCTGCCTTTCGCCTCAGCGCACCCTTCGCCACTGCCTCTCGCTTTTCCCCTGCTCTCACGCTAGCACCTCCCAGGGATCTCGCTGTTCTTTCCCGCAGCTGGACGGCCCACCTCCCCATTGTGCTTCCCCTCCTCCACTGCGAAACTGAGCTCTTCTCTCTGGGGTCCTAGGTCCGGTCCCCCAATTTCCGTCACCTTCGATCCCTGTCCCCTCCCGGGACTAGTAGGTGACATTTGTGCCTTGCCTGGGCTTCTCCCGCCTTTTCTTAGCTTCAGAGAAGGGCTTAGCCAAAGCCCCAATCTCGGGGCCGATTTATTCGGCTTGGGGGAAGTTTTGCCTTGAGGCGTCGTGCTCGACTCTGGTAGCTTCCGTAGTCAGGGAACAACAAAGGCGTTCCCTTTTTCTTTGCTGGAGCAGTTTGGGGGCTCTCTCTGGAGCAGGCTAACAGGTGGCAGGCACACGGGACAGTTAGCGATTGGGCTTGTGTGGTCTTGTTAGCTGACAGGCCGTGAGGACGTCTTGTCATTTTTGTGTTCTCTGTCCCAGGAGAGGGGATGTGCACAGCTGAGGCAGAAAGGCGGACGATCAGCTCTGTGTTCTCTACAGACTTTACTTACAGGACAGTTGCTGTGACATTAGACAGGAGATTTGTAACCCCACGTTTAGGAGCTTGGTTGCCAGAAATTTTACGGTTACTGAAACGTTTTCTGCTAAAGAAAGCACTATCGTAGTTTCAAAGTACGTTTTCATTAATTGAACTCCGTGTGCCTCTGTGTCTATATCTTTGACCTCTTCTAGATTGTTTCTTCATTTTTACCATATTGGCAAGCTTTCTATTTTTCTACCTGTTTCTTCTGAAGCCAGACATTACGCTACTTTATTACTTCGACTGTTCTTTTATTTTTTTCTGTTTTCACCTTAGTCTTTTTCTAGTGTTTATTTTTGAGAGACTTAGTGTGAGTGGGGGAGGGGCAGAGAGAGAGAGAGGGAGACACAGAATACAAAGCAGGTTCCAGGCTCTGAGCGGTCAGCACAGAACCCGACACAGGGCTTGAACTCACCGACTGCGAGATCATGACCTGAGCCGAAGTCGGATGCTTAACCAACTGAGCCATCCAGGCGCCTCTCCACCTTAGTCTTCAAAACCATCTTTTTCTCCTTTGAGACTTAGGTTTCTCTTAAATTTTTAAAATTTCTCTGATGGCTTTTAGTCACCTCTAAGATGAAGAGATTGGATTTAATAGTGGTTCGTGTCTCAGATTTTGTGATCTGAGGTATAGTTTGAGACACAGGATTGGATACTTTTTACTTTTCTTTTTCCGATATTTGTGGTGCATGTCTGGCATTTGATTGCAAATTTTTTTATGTGATCTGCTTTTGAAATATAAATTGTGCTCTGAAATTTAGTACTTAAGTGTCTGCTTCACTTTTGACTGGTGAGTCAGAGAAAAGTTTCTCTCATTATATGATACACATACATACACAAGCATAGCATAGACCTTGCTCATTCCAGAATGGGGCTGCTCCCTTCAGCTATTTTTAGCAAAGGACTTTGGAGCTTGGCCATATTAGTCCTAGAAGCCACAGAGAAGGACCCTCTGGTTGGCTTTCACGCCTTATCTAACTGCTGAGGGAAACCCTTTTGAAAGCTTTTTATCCATACCTCCTGCCCAGCACCTACATTGGAAGCTCTGGCTTCTGTTCAGCCTGGCCTCCTCATTTCACATCCTTAAAAACTAACCCCAGAGAGTATGGGCTGACTCTCTCTAACTGCTTCCTTACCTCTAGGTTTGTGGACTTTTTCTTTTCTTTTTTTTTTTTTTTGCCATGAGAACGCCATGGATAGATTTATATTTGGATTGATGCAAGACCATCTTCCCACATTCTTCATTTCTGAACTTTCTATTTCTTGAGCATGTCTAAGTCAAAGCCTAGATGGAGTTCTGCAGTTTACAGCTGGAGGCTTCTGTAGAGCTGAAACTTACCTTTTCATTTTACAAATAAGGAAATCAAGACCTTAAGAATTGGTGATTTTTCCAAGGTCAGTTTTTACAAATAAAGAAGTCTTGTGCGTGCACTCAGAAGTGGGTTTTATTTCCCTCAAAGTTGTAGGCCAGAGAGCACAATGTAGTATTTAGTGGTTCATTTCTTTCTTTTATTTTCTTTTCAGTTTATTTATATGTTTTTGAGAGAGAGAGAGAGAAAGAGAGAGAGAGAGTACAGGGGAGGGGCAGAGAGAGAAGGAGGGAGAGAATCTCAAGTAGGCCCTGTACTGTCAGCACAGAGTGGGGCTTGAACTCACAAACCATGAGATCGTGACCTGATCTGAAGTCAAGAGTCGGAAGCTTAACCTACTGAGCCACCCAGGCCCTCTCGTGGTTCATTTCAGTACATTTATGTCATAGGAATGAATTCTAGGAGAAGGAATTTATGACAGATTTTTAAATTCAAGGCTGAGATCATTTTGCCTTTAAGGGCCCCTAGAAAGAAACTGTCGTGCAGAAGTTAAAGTTGAAAAGTCTTAGGGAGTCTCTCTCTCTCTTTTCTTCTAAAATTATTTTATTCAATTATGATATAAATGCTACATAAAAGCCCTTACATGAACATCTTGTGGTCTCATTGGAGCATCTGTGTTCATGGTCCTGGTCTTTCTACCAAACACTAATGAACTTTCTAATTTCTGAAAAGCCTGCACGTCTTACCTACCTTCCAGACAACAACAAAAAAATACACTAGAGACAGTTAGTGTACGTGTTTGTAAAGCTCAGGAGAGGAATCGTTGTCAGTTTTCTATAGAAATTTCTCCTTTAGTTTGGCAGTCTTATTTTGTAACCCTGAGAACTCCATTTAAACTGATTTTCTCATTAGCTTAGGTCTACCAGGTTTTCTGTTTTTATTTGGTTTAACTATTTTCGATATTTTTTTGGTCATTTTACTTGTTACTGTATTTTGTTTTACATATTTTAATTATTCTTGAACCCTGGGATATGTTTTAAGGAAAATGCAGCTTTAAAAATATAAGAAACAAAGTACACCCACACCATGCACGTCCTAACCATTCGTACCTTGTGGTGTGATGGCTTCTGTGATCTGCCTAAGCCCCTTCTTAACTTCATTCTTTTTGTTTTACTTTCAGATAAAAGGCTGATAGAACTTCTTTTTTGGTAGTTGTCTAAAAGATTTTTGTGTTCTACATGTAACAAGATATTTTAAATGGAGGAAGGCTAGTTCAAAATAGTTAACATAGAATAGTTTAACATAGAAATAGTTCAGAGTGGGATGCCTGGGTGGTTTAGTTGGTTAAGCGTTGGACTCTTGATTTCGGCTCAGGTCATGATCTCACGGTTTGTAAGGTTGAACCCTGCTTTCGGCTTCATGCTGACAGCACAGAGCCTGCTCTCCTCTCTCTTCCCCTTCCCATGCTCTTGTGTGCACACTCTCTTTCTCTCTCAGAATAAATAAACATTTAAAAAAGGAAAAAATGTATTTAAGAATATTAGGAAAAGTTTATTCTTCTCATATATTCATTTATATCAGGGTGTTAATTATTATATTTGTAATCAAGTTGAAAATAGGTGGACTTTCTGCTTAAAATTAAGTTAAATTAACTTAAAAATGCAGGTACATGTTCTTATACAGAATATATGGCTTAAGCTATGAACTGCCTTATTAGTAGGTTTTATTGGCAGAGAACATAGATAATGGAGCAGCAACCCCATCATCATCTCAGTGTTTTTATTTGGTCCCATCAGCCTAAGTCCCAAGGTATCTAATTATTAAATGTAAAAATAATCAGAGTATTTTCTTTGTTTTTTGTAGTATGTTTAAAAACATATTTGAAATATGGGCTTCATAATATTTTATGTTTTTAAGAAAACTTTACTGTTTCCTCCTTTTAAATATGTAGTTGTATTTTACTTTTTTTTTTTTTTTTTTTTTTGTAGTCTCTATGCCCAATGTAGGGCTTGAACTCATCACCCTGAGATTATCAAGAATCCTATACTTCACTGACTGAGCCAGCCAGGTGCCCCATAGTAGTATTTTAAATCAAAAAAGGAAATGTATAAGTATTCCTAACCTTTCAGCATCCATTGAAATCGTAAAACTCATGATTTAAAACCTTCAACAAAGTAGGAGTAGAGGGAACATACCTCAATATAATAAAGACCATATGTGACAAACCCATCACAAACATAGTCAACAGCTTTTTCTCTAAAATCAGGAACAAGACAAGGATATCCACTCTCTCCATTTTTATTCAACATAGTTTTGGAAGTCCCAGCCACAGCAATTAGGCAGAAAAAAGAAAAGAAAATGTATCCAAGTTAGTAAGAGAATAAGTTAAACTGTTACTGTTTGTAAGTGACCTAATTCTACCTGTAGGAAACCTAAAGTCTCTACAAAAAAACTGTTATAATTAATGAATTCAGTAAATTTGCAAGATAAAATATGAATATACAAAATCTGTTGTATTTCTACACACTAATAATGAACTATCATAAAGAGAAACTGAGAAAACAATCCCATTTACAATGGCATAAAAAAAAATAAAATGTGTTGGAGTAAATTTAACCAAGGAGGTGAAATACTTATACACAGAAAACTATAAGACATTGATTAAAAAAAATTGAAGATGTCACAAATAAATGGAAAGATAATCCATACTCGTATATTGAAAGAACTAATATTACAATGTCCATACTACCCAAAGTAATCTACAGATTCCAGTGGCATTTTTCACAGAACTG